GTTTTTTAAAAAAAATTAAACCAAACAATATCATTTTGTTATGATTTTTTAGCCCCAAATTTATTTTTTAATTATAGTTATATAATTATATTTATTATTTAATATGTTTTACCTTAAATATTATGTTGTAGTTAATTTGAATCATTTTATTTCACTTGATTTTATGGTTTTTAATTTATATATGTTATGATTTGCTTTGAATATGACTTGTAATATAAAAAATTATTTTTTATTAAATATTTTTGGTATTTTTATTTAATTTTTTAAATAATTATGACGTCGTCCGGTTCTTCCGACCGGTAGGACCGGTTCGACCGGTTGAACCAGTGAACCGATAGCATGGCCAGTTCGTTAACCGGTCCAGTTCTGAAAACCATGAAAATCACCGTATTAACTATTAAATGATATGTTAAATACTTATTTGGTACCTTATTTATTTTTGAATATATGTTTTGATCATTCAATTTTTTTAATAAAATTATATATAATAGGGTAAATTAAGAATTTAGTACCTAAATTATCAATTTTAGTATCTAAACTTTCAAATTTTTTAAAATCATACCTAACGTTTATTTTTTGTTTCATTTTAGTACCCTACCATTAAAAACTTAACGGACGGGCTCATCGGCTATTGCATTCATCGGCCAATGAAGCCCAAACTTATCAGCCAACACTTTTTAGACCCCTTGAACGTGATTATGGCATCCGTTTCACCAGAAAATGCCTCAATCTCCCCAAATCGACGATGGATTCTTCAACTTCTTCATCTTCCAATCTCCGTCAACTATCTGATGGGCCTAAAACTGGACTATGCTGGTTGACTCGTCATTCTCTCGTGGTCCACCATTCTAATTGGTCGTTTGTCCACCGGAGCTATGTCTCATTAGCCCGTCCGTTAAGTTTTTAACAACGGGTACTAAAATGAAACAAAAACTAAACGTTATGTCTGATTTTGAAAAAAAATTGAAAGTTTAAATACTAAAACGAACCAAAACTGATAGTTTATGTACTAAACGTGTAATTTACCCAAAATATAATATTACAATTTAATTCTATTTCTGTCGCTTACCATTAATTTTGATAATTAACTTAACAGATATGTTAATATGGTAAAGTATAATGATAATTTTAGTCCCTAAATCTTATACATTCTATCATTTAGGTTCCAATTTGTAATAACTAGTCAAATACTTGGTTAAACCCCAAATTTTCGATCTTATTTCTTCTCCCTATGCAACACTTGCCTTTTTTCTTTCTTTCTTCTTCCTATGCAACGCTCTTCCCCCCCCCCCCCCAAATTTTCCCTCAAAGCATCTTAAGAGCATATAGGTTGTACTGGGAAAAAGAGGACATGGAAGGATCACAAAATCTATTGAGAATCACGTTCTAAGTCTTCATATTACTGTGTTCTTCAATTCTGGTAGGCACTGTAAAATAAGGGACTTGCTTTTATTCTGCTATACATTTATTGTTTTCTCCAACAACTGATTTGTCAAAAAAAAAATAGAGAAGCAATCATTTTCAAGGCTTTATGCACTACGTAGCTTAGCATTTGGTTCGATTTTATCGACCAAAATTTATATATAATATCTTAGTTTTTTATCACTAAGGATTTTTAATTCACTAACTTAAAGTGAACATTTTAAGGATAAGATAGAGCCTTTACAACACTATCTTTACAAGGCTTATATAGAAACCTTCCCTATATTTTACAATGACTCTAAGATCTGAATATTCTTTTAAAGCAAAATTAGAACATGTCTCTTTTACAAGATTTGATTTGTATTAGACATCAGATATTGACCACCCATGGGATCACTACCCAAAAAGCCTTAATAACCTGATTTTGAGACCCTAACTAGTGGAGTCCTACAAGCACTACGACTATTAAACACATCGATCACATAATTTTTCTCGTATTCTCAAAAATAATATAAATACCGATTAAACCTTTTACCATTCGACCAATTGTTCTTTAAAATTTTTATGAGAAATATATTTGATGAGATTTTTGGAAGATTGTAAATTGTTATATTTTGATATTATATTCTCTCAACTTCTCTCTACGTGAAAGGGTCCAAAGGGGATAATACATTAATGTAGACATCTGTTTTCGGAGTCTTGTCTCAAATTTTCTTTTATTATAATATTTAGATTAATTAAACGTACATATATAGTTTTTTTTTTGTTATTATTATTAATTATTAGTATTTTATTAGAGCATAATTTATATCAATTATACCTTTCCGGGAAGCCTCTCATAACATTTGACACCCAATTTGGTAATCCTAAGGGTGCGTTTGGTTCACGGAACGTAAGATTACCAGTTGAAATAAAAGATTACCAGGGAATATGATTACTGGGAATGCTGTATTTTGTGTTTGGTTGTTTAGATTACCGTGTTTGGTTAAATGAATAAAATATTATTGGAATGTATATTTGACCAAATTGTCCTTATTATATATTTGTTTTTTTAACAAGTTGGAAAATATTTATATATTTTCTTTAAAAAATTTAAATTCATAAAATTTATATATATATATATATATATATATATATATATATATATTACAAAATTGAAAATATAAAAATGGTTAATGAAAGGGTAAAATTTTATTTTAACCCCTGAACTTCATATAAATTTTAATTATAGACTTCTTTTTGTAAATCTAAAATAGTTTAAGGATAAATTTATAATTTAACATTAGTAGAATTTTTATTATTCAATGACAAAATAAAGATATGTTTTAAAGAAATTTTTTTAAGGGCATTTTAGTCTAAAACACCGGTAATCCAATAATACCTAAGGAAATGAAGGTAATGACATTTCAGGTAATATACTCTAAAAAATCTACTATTGGTAATGTAAGATTACCGGGAATGACATTCCCGATCAACTAAACGGGGGAATATGGATTCCATTCTCATGAGAATCTCACATTTCCCCAACCAAACACATCTTAAAGAATTTCCTAAATGGCATCAAATTCCCAGCTTGTAAGGCCTTACGTAAAAACAAATACACCATACGATACAAAGGTGTTAAGTCATATGTACGGATTTAAATATTTATAAAAATAAATCTACTCCATGCGACTTCACAAAAAGCTCTATATGTCGATCTAGGATGTTACAAATTCGTTAAAGAGCTCACAAAAACACAAATCAAAATTTTAGATATCAAATCATAAGATAAACACTTATAAAAGATTTCTATCGAGTCATTAAAGATGAGAGGAAATGAATAATTATACAATTAGGGTCGAAAGGAAATCATTCAAACAAAACTGAGTTTTCCCTCTTCATTTAACCCTTATAAAACAACCCAATAACAATGAGTAGAATAAGAAAGCCTATGACTCAAGAGAGTCTACTCTTTTCGCTAGAAAAAAAAAGACAAACTCGTAACTAAAAATCTTGATATCGATCACATTACATTATGGATCACGTCACTGTATAACACTTATCTGATTGAAGGATAGATAAGTGTTATACCCTTTATCATACTCCACCACTTTAGAGGGGTTATACCTCAAAACTATCCATGAAACCCAATAAAAAATAACTCATATGATTCAACTGTAATAATTTAAGTCCAATCTTTAAAGTTTTATATTCAACTCAGTTATAGAACAATTATGTGACTTTTGAATACATAAAATATATAATAAAGTGCTTCCTATGATTTCGAGTACTCTTTTTTCCTCAATCTGGAAGAAAACTCGTTCTACCCCTTACATTCAAATCATAATCGACTAGTGATTTTTCGTCTAAATTAAAAAATTGTATTAAAATAATAACTTAATTATTTTCCCCACCTTTCAAAATATCGTAGATCACTACGTTGATTTTCAACAACTCTCTTCCTGTATCAAAATTTTATTTTCAATTCAAATATCTTCAATCTAAAATCAGCTATCCAATCATTAAGACATACTTAAAAGTTAAAACCTTCCTGATACAACAAGCCAACTAAAATAATTAACTATTTCTGATTGACCAATGTTTATTGAATTACAAAATTAGGAATTTCAAACAATTATTTCGCATTAAACTGTTCGTACACCATGCATATGTGATATTCGAATTTAGAACCTCAAGAAATAATAATTTAGGTCGCTTGGTTCCAGCTGTGGCAGTGGTGAATGGAGGAGCGTGAGAAGAAGGGGCGTGGAAAATAGAAGGGGGGAACTGTTCCATTTTCCTTGGGAGGGTGGCAATGACAGAGGAGAGGGAGCAGAGATTCGGATACGGACAGAGTATTTTTCTTTTTGATGCATTGGGTTTGAGCGTAATACTACTAATAAGGCCTCGTGATCGGAGAAGGGAGATTCATGGAAGACTGTTCCCTCTACTCACGTGGCCCTCTTTTGACTACCCCCCTCCCGTTTTGGAGTATTGCCATTAGCCCCCATCAACACACAAATATTTGACTGCATCACTTGTTTTCTATTCCTTAATACTACTTGTATACTACTAGTATACCCTTCACATATATACTTCGTTTATTGTTTTCTAAAAACTTTTATCTCTCTATCTCTGTAAGACTGTAACATGCAACCTGGGACCCTCTCTGTCTGGATCTTTATGTCTCTCTTGCTATTCAAGCATGTACCTCTCTCCATTTCAATTTGACGACAACGTGGACTGCAGGTGCTGCTGACTGGTATTTCGCCATTTTATTAGCTTATAAAGCTACCAGACAAACAACTCTCCTCACTTCCCCAGCCCCTCTCTCTTCCAATTTTACATTCAAACACTATATTATTGCACTTCCCTCTCAGTTTTTACTATTTGCTTCGTACTACCCTGCCATTACTCTTTAAACAATACTCCCCCTCTCCCCTACCATCACTTCTTACTTCTTTTTCAATTGCATTTGCTTATTCTTTCGTTTCATCTGCAATCCCTTGCCTCTTCGTTTTGATCTTTTCCGATATCCCATAGTGCTAAAATCGAGGCTTTGATACATAATCATAAAGAAAGAGGTTGAGAAAACAATGCATAGATGCAGTAGCTCTCAGGGAATGGGTCCATGTTCATGTGGCCTGTTTCAATGCCAAAGCAACTGTTCCTGGCTATTTTCCATGCTCGACCACAGATCTTGCGATGAAACGAACATGTACCCTTTCATGTCTTCTTCATCTTCAGTCGATTGTACTCTCTCCTTGGGAACTCCATCAACTCGTCTCTCCGATGACGATGACAAGCAAATCCGCCATGAACGTACCTCTGGTAATCCTTGCATGTCTAACTATTGCTGGGACTTGTTCCAGAACAAGAACGCACCTTATTCACACCAAACCGCCAAAGATAGCCGCGGAAGCAATGGGAATAGCAGTAACAGCTCCGGCAATGATCCCCTCTTAACTCGCCGCTGTGCCAACTGCGACACCACTTCTACACCACTTTGGAGGAACGGGCCAAGAGGTCCAAAGGTAATACAAAAACTAACAAATTCCAACAATTATATATATGTAGAACAACTTAATATGTACTCGTTTTTGTCTATAATTGCAGTCACTTTGCAATGCCTGTGGAATCCGGTTCAAGAAAGAAGAAAGAAGAGCTAGCGCAGCAAATGCAAACAACAACTCATCAATAGTGGAACAGCAACATCATGGCTATTATCACCCCAACAATTCACGGGTTCATCATCATCAGTCGCAGAACCAGAAAATGCCATGTTTCTCCCCTCTTAACGAATTCAGGTTCATTGAAGATAGTGATCGAGATTCCGACACCGGCATTCCTTACCTTTCTTGGAGACTGAACGTCACAGATAGGCCAACAAGCCTTGTCCATGACTTTACAAGATAAAAGGAAAAATCAATGAATAAAGAAGAAAAAAAAGAAACCTCTCTTCCCATTGACGGTCAATATCATGCAATGAAACGTATCACGATGATGGCGACGCTTACATGGTCTAGTCAAAATTCTTTTTATTTTATTTGCTTTCTTTTGTTTGTCTCCTTTGTCTGTGTTCAATAGGTGGAGTAAGAATGGGATCATTCTATATGTTGTTAGTTGCTTTTGATTGTTTTCGCTTATTTTTTTTTCAACTTGTTTAACTTTAGTTTCACTTCCAGTTTTATATTAAAACCTTTCCGTTTTGAGAGTTCAACTTTCACATATCCTCTACTTCTTCTTCATCAGATATCAAGATCATGCTCAGTTAGTCAGTTCAGCACCGTTAGATAATGTAATAATATAAGAAAGTAGTACGTGCTTGCATACATATTCAACAATGGCACCCTTTTTTTCGCCTTTTAATGTTTATGAACTGAAGTTTGCTTCACCTGAGAGACTCTGGGCTCTGTATCTGCATCAGTTTCCTTTACATTTCCCTGGGTTTCGCGGCTGCAAGAGAAAATGGGTTTGCCGATGAGTCTGACCGTCCAAATACTTTGCAATTTACCAATTCGTGATTGTTCTGAGCCGGAGGACTCTGTGCGTTTCAGGCGTTTAGCAATGCAACAATTTGTCGTATCAGGCCCTTTTGGGTACACTCTTATTCCTGAATCTTGACCGTCAAATTGGCCTCTAATGCACACCTTGGGTCATTATGCAACATGCAAACCCTATTTTTCCCACCATTATTTTACTTCACGTTGGCTTTATTATTTATGTTTTGAATTTTATGGCAGATTATTGTTATTATAGTATAATCATATGTATATGATATATTGATCGTCTAATTCAGATCTAGTATAGTTGATGTATAATATGAGAGTAATATTCTCAAGTCAATTTATTTCATTCATAAACATTACGGTTTAAACTCCTAGTATTTCTTAAGAAATTTAATGTGTAGACCAACTTGTTTATATGGATATTATTAAAGAGGGTGGGAAAGTCTAATTACCAAAAAGAATGTTTGTTAAGGATAAGAAGTCAAATTTGAAAATGGACCAAATATGGAATTGATGGCCAAAGGTAAAAGAGTTGGTTGGACCTTGAATGGAGCAAACAAACCCCACATTTCAAAATTTTTAGACAGACATTGTCCATCCTCGATATCCACTAATATGCCCAGACATTATCTTGCATCTTTATATCTTCAACATCTTTCTTCTTACTTATTTATTCGCTCAATATCTATTTATTTAATAGATATATACATATATTTCAATTTAAAATATTTATTATTATTTTTTAATTACATATTAATATCTAGTTTATTAATTGATTAATCTAGATCCGACTTTGCATAGATATATTATGAGATGAATATCTTATTTCAATTTGCTTCATTCGCAATAGTTAAAATTCATACCCTTAATCTTATTTAAGGAATTTAGATTTTAGTGTCTTATATCACTAAATCAACTAATTGTTTATAAAATATTTATTAAATTTAATATTTATAAGTTACAAATATTTTCTCGTTTTTGTAATTTTGAGGAGTCTAATTGTGATGGGTTTGATTTTGTCGCACGTCGTTCGACATCCTTTGATTAAAGATGAATTTTGACTCAAATTTAACAGATTTTGACTCGATGTGGTTAAATCAGTTTTTAAGGGTACGATTAAGTTGGATTCATGTTTAAGGTGGAAAAATTCGATATGTCATAATCTAATATAATATTATAATTATCTCTTATATATTAAGCATAATTATAACAATATCAGTCTCTATATTATTTTTCAATTAACTTCTTATTTTACCCAATAAAAATATTTTCAATATATATATATATATATATATATATATATATGTTGAGGTGCGAGTTTTCACCTTAAAAACCGGGACAAATTTTGGATCAAGCGAAATCCTCCTAAATTCGAATCATGTGTGAGTGGAACATTTTATTTTTCAAGTCGTGTTTGAGTGAATTCGACCCATGATCATCCCTACCTTTAACCCTTTCTTACTCTCTAACCAGTGCTGTGGCTTTTCATGATAGACATGGTTGCTCTGCTCTGGTTTTGGTCCTTGATGTTCTTAGAGTTTCATTGGTGACCAATACTTCCTTCATTCGAACGACAGAAGCATTTTTTGTTGGAGTTCTTCTAACATCAGAATTATTGATCTTATCGGTGAAGATTTTCGACATATTCGATCAAAGACTTATCTTCTTTTTATTTTCTTTACATTTTTCCCGTGCTTTTATTCTCTTTTTGGACTTGTATTAACCCGTTATCTTAGTAAAATTTGTATCTCTTGAACTAAAACTATTTTAACTATGTAATTATTTATTTGACATAATTTATTATTTTTCTGATAAATAATATTATTAAATTCAACTTGGTATTAAATATAACATGATAAAACACAAATATTAAGCATACGGCATTGATACGATGCATAATTTTATATAAAATATAAACATTTTTTTTATGTTTTATTAATAATGAGATAAAAGATAACTTGTCAATTATATGTAAATCATCTTCACTGTCACCATCCTAATCATTCCCTTCTCTTTCCCCTCCGCCTTTCACTTGGCCTCTCGTCGCCTTCAATTCTATTATCGTTACCAGACCTGATTTGAATTGATTTACTCGATTTGAGATTCAATATGGACTTAAATAGGATGATTCAAACTCAATTTGAAGCTTGAAATAAATCAAACTGAATCAAAATTTATCTAAATTTTAGTTAGATTGATATTGAGTCGTACCCAATTTGACATGAATTAATTTTTACCTAAACCGAAAATAATCTAAATTTATTTTATCAAAACTTGATCTAAACCAAACTTCAACCCAATTTTAACTCAATAATTGAGTCGAAATTAATGAATAGTTTACTTCTATTATTAACTATTTTTAGTAATGTATGTAATAAATAGTAAAATGATACATGTTTTAATCTCTTTTTATTATATTACTAGTATATATATATTCTAAATCTAATCCTAATCCTACTTAAAAAATAGGGGAAGGCGGACTCTAAGAGAAAGAATGAGAGTGCTCCTAGTGGGTCTAAAACACATGACATAAAAATTTATAAAAAAAACAAATATGAACAGTTTGGTCATCCGATCAAATGTGATTGCTATATTATATTACTAGTTAATCACCTTCTTCGGTAATAGTTTAATGGTTCAATGCCATCTCTTTTTTTCCTTTAAAAGATCATCTTCATATTTGTTCCAACAATTTTTTCAATTTTTTAAGTATTTGACATGAAGAGTTATAAAATAAAAATATCCACTACCGAGAATTCTAGTTTATATGATTAACTTTAATTGACCTTACTTGGATGGTAGACTATAATTAACTTTAAAATAAAATATTTTTATAAGTACAAATTAACATAAACACAAGTCTGAAATAAAGAGTTATCGTTTAAAAGTGATATGTAGCTACAAATCAAGTCAAATATCTACATTCAATTGTTTTTAGATATCAAACTCAATTACATTTAGGGTATGTTTGTTTCATGTAAAATATTTTTTGGAACAAATTTTCCTCATTTTTCAGTGTTTGGTTGGTGAAAAACAGATTGGTCAATGTAAAACATTTTTTCGATCAACAAAATTTCCTTTACATTTTATACAAAATGACTTGCATTTTGATTTTCTATAAGTTATTTTTTGAATTTTCACTAATTCAAAGTATAAATACTCAAAATAATATTATTTTATATATTTAGTATTAATATAATATTTAAATATAATTTTAATAAAATAATTATTAAAATATTTAAAATATATTTATAAATAAGTTTAATAATATAATATTATATTTTTAATATTATAATGATATACTAAGTTATTTTATAATAATATATAATATTATATTTTTTAATAATATATAATAAATTATTAATAAATTAATATTATTCATTAATTTTATAAAAGTGATATTATTGAATTATTAATAATGAATAATATTATTTTTGTGTATTTTATATTAATATAATAATCTAGCAATATTTTAGTAAAAATACTTAAAATATATTTATTAATAATTTTAAAAATATGATATTTTTATTTTAATAATATTAACATTTTTCCGGTCAACAAAATTTCCTTTGCATTTTATATAAAATGACTTACGTTTTGATTTTCCATAAGTCATTTTTTGGAATTTTCACTAATTCAAAGTATAAATACTCAAAATAATATTATTTTATATATTTAGTTAATATAATATTTAAATATAAATTTTAATAAAATAATTATTAAAATATTTAAATATATTTAAATAAGTTATAATATAATATTATATTTTAATATTAGATATACTAAGCTATTTTATAATAATATATAATAATATATTTTAATAATATATAATAAATTATTAATAAATTAATATTATTCATTAATTTTATAAAAGTGATATTATTGAATTATTAATAATGAATAATATTATTTTTGTGTATTTTATATTAGTATAATAATCTAGCAATATTTTAGTAAAAATACTTAAAATATATTTATTAATAATTTTAAAAATATGATATTTTTTATTTTAATATTATTATAATAATATTCTTATTTTAATGAGTAATTAATATAACTAATAATATTTATTATTTTAATAATATAATATAATATACTTATTTTGATAAATAATTAGTATAATTTAAAATTTTTTTATAAAAACCGCTAATTTTATTAAAAATATAAAATATCCATATTACAATGAAGGTTTACAACCACAACAGTAAACTAAACATATAATAAGAATATTTTCCTAAATACAAGAAAACTAGCCACTTAAAATTACATAAGGACCATATAAGGAAAAGGTTAAAAAAATCTAATCAAATAAACTCGAACAAGAGATTACAAATAGATCTAAATGCATCGACAAATGAACCAAAAAAAAGAAATAAAGCTATTGAAAGGCCGTTGACATACCGTAAAT